TAGACAAGTTGCCTGGGTTTAACAACAGTAGCACTGAAACTGGTTTTGTCTTTGTAATACCAATTCGGACAACAAGATTGATTACTAATACCATTGACTAAAATTAAAGTAGCTCCAGGGGCAATCACTTTTCTTTGTAAACACACTCAATTTTATGAAGATAATAGATTTAAAGGAGACCTAGAAAACACTTAATTATTTGGAAATAGCACACAATAGAGTTAACCAGGCTGGGACCAAAGGGCTGAAACAATTATGACCAACAAGAGAAAACATGGAAGCAAGATATAAATGGCATACCAGTTTCAAGTTGTCACTAAAACTGCGACTATGGCCTCAATGGGAGAGTTGAAGGAGAATAGAAGTTCCTAGCCGAGAAATCAGAGAGATTGGTGTTCAGATGATATGAAGGAGAGGAGATGTGCGGCTACTAAGGTTGGGAATAAACACAGGTCTTGGTTAATGATGTGCATAAATATACCTTTTTTTCTAGGGCTTTAGTCAAAATACTGATTCGGGCCAAGATAACTGATTTGGGTCTCTCATCTTCTATAAAAAAACGCCTCTGATCTAACTAATTAAACCTTATAACATACTAGTATTTATTTATCTATTTAAAATCATTAGAGCTTGCCGGTCAACGTCATCTGTCACAAAACATTGATAACACAATAAACCACGTTATTCTCAAATAAAATTATTTAACTTACTAAAAAAAGTGACTAATATAACTAGGTCACAAAATTGGGGTGTTACAATTGCACATTCATTGGAGGTAATCTAGTCACTTGGAAGAGTAAGAAGCAAAAGGTGGTGTCATGTTCAAGCATTGAGGTAGAATATAGAGCAATGAGAAAACTGACTAGTGAACTCATTTGGATCAAGCGGCTATTCACATTGCGTCAAACTCAGTATTTCATGAGAGGACCAAACACATTGAGGTGGATTGTCATAAGGTTAGACAAGATGTGGAACAACAAACCATCTTACCTTTGTTACACAAGAAGTGAAGACCAGCTAGCTGACATCTTCATTAAGGGAGCAAGCATAAAGTTCTGTGAGTACATCCACCCAAGGTTGGGACTCAAAGACTTGTCCAGATCATGGTCATCTTGCCCATAAAGCATCATCTCTTTTTCCCCAAGTGTTTCTTTTTCGCTTATGTCCATGGCTTTTCAAGCTTGACCATACCGTATGCTCAAGCTTGATGGGGAGTATTGAGAAGAAGAAACTTGGATACTTGAAGAAAAGTCAACCCTTTCTTTGCCAACTCATCCAAGTGGCTGTTAGATGCAAGAGAGTGTATTTTTTTAATTTAAACTCTTGGAGCCTAATTCTATCACATCAAGCCACTGTTTATTCTTTGTTTAATCTTCTCTTTGGTGTATTTAATGCACCTGTAAAAACGAATTGAGTGCAAGAGATAAATATATAAACTTCATCTTTTACTCTCTCCATCTCACATGTTCTTCAATAGTTCATCATCTTTTCTAACAATTACTACCCTTCTCATTTACCCATAAAACATAAAAAGTTTCGACATCTCATTTCCAATCTCTTTGCCGCAGGTGTGATGGTCTACCTTTTTCATCTCTTCTCCTTACTTGTTTCTTCTATCTCAAGGAAAAATTATTAACACTTTCACTAGTAACACTTCATTCATTTGACTCTCCCAAGCAAAGTTAAATTATGTCTAACACTTACATTTCTCTTCTCTCCCGTGCTCTCACTAAAACTTCCAAACACTTTCATTACTAACACTTCCAAACACTCTATCCAAACAGGTCCTTACCGAATGAAAGCATGGTAAAGATGTGTACTCCTAATACACTGTACCAAATCTATCCGATTATTTGAAATTAGGGTAAAATTTGTTGGTGTAAAATGAAAGCATTGTAAAGATGTGTGCCCCTAATACATTGTACCAAATCTATCCGATTATCCGTCTCCTAACGTCTACCACAGCTCCGTTAGTAAAATAAAACCTCACCAGCCCCCAGTCTGCCTTTTAGATTCCAGAGTATCCAGCCCATTAGAAGATTGGTTAACTCTAGCCGCGCAGAAGACCGGCGTTAGTGTTCCTGACTTCTTTCAATTCCTTTGATCTTCTGATGTAAGTTACTTGTTTTCTGCTTCCGTTTTCGCAGTTCTTCCCAAGCGGCCAAGCATATTCCAATCCAACCATTCTGAACCAGGTAGTATTTGGCTCATCCTCTCTGTGCGTTTTGTTTAGTGCTTCATCTTCTTCTATAAACCCCTATATCTAAATCACATCTCTTTTTCTCAATGCTCCTATTTTCATATTCATTCTCTAAACTCTGACAAATTGCAGTGTTAATCTTGGCCTACCACTAATTTCTTGTAATGATTTTAGGGATTCGAATGATCTAAATCAATTCATGTTTTTTGGGAATGAACTGCAAAGATTGTTCGACCAAGGGGAACCAATTGCAGCTATTCTTATTCCTTGTGAATGAATTATCAGGTCTGCATTTTTGTGTTCCTCAGAAATCCTTAAGCCCTATTATATTATTTACCAATTGGAGATGTCCTCTGTTTGATTTGTATTTGATTTAAATACTAAAAATTTGTTTGTTTTGATAATTTCTTTTCAATTCAAATTGTACCTTAGATACATCTATTACGTACATAGCAACTCCATATCACTGTTTACTTGTTTAGGATGTTTTATTCAATTATCAAGAAAGTTTACAAAGGTATGTCATATGCCTTCATAGTTCATACTCAAAATTCCAGTACTTCTCTTTCTAAGCTTTTAGGATAGGACGATAGGTAAAATATAAATATACTCAGAAACAAACTTATTTCATATTCCTTGAAGAGGGTGTTTGTATTGGTTAATCATTTTAAGTACGGCCCATTTTGAGACTACAAAAGTGTTGTTTATAGTCAAAAGAGTTGACTATTTACCAGGTTAGGCCAAGAAAGACATCATGGCTCATTCTAGCCTTTCTAAAACTTGGATATTTTTGTCTAATATATAGTACTAGGGAATTAAATATAAACTAATTTATGAAAAAATAGGTTAATATTTTTTAAAAACTACTTTGTAACATTCATGACTCCAAGATCAGTCTTTGTATGAAAAAATAAATTTTACATAGCACTTTAGGTAAATGGTTGAGACTGAAGATGGAAATGTTTTTATTCATATCATTTCATCATTTCATTTTCATTTACCCCAGTGCCGTAAAGGCTCCCACATACGGTGAGGTGCGGGTCAGTCCATGCAGTTTTCGATGCAATTTTCACCATGGGTCATCCCGAAACAGTCTCCCTGTGCTTTAGTACAGGGGTAAGGCTGCGTAGATCCGACCCCCCTTACCCCACCGTAGGTGGGAGCCTTTGCGGCACTGGGGTAATGATGATGATGATGATGATGATCTAAGAAAAAAAACATTAAACCCTTAATAGGGACTCCAAGATCAGTCTTTGTCAATAACATTTTCTGGTCAATTTCCCCAAAAAAAAAACAGAATGGCAGTGCTATGGTAAACTTGTGCGTTCATTTTGCTTCTTTTAAAATATGAACAAATATTTGATTCATCATGTATTATCCATCAGGCTGTCTAGCTTCCATTTTAAGTCCAGCTATATATCTTTAGTGATGAAGTTAACTGACCTATTTGATAGACATCTGAATCTATGTTTCTTTAATTATGTTTTTGTATTTGATGTCGTTTTTAATATTTTTACATCAAATAACAATCGTACAATGTGTTTGTCTTAATCTTGACTAATTTCTATAGAATTGCACATGGCGTATTTTGTGCTAATTTTTGACATTATGAAATTTCATTTGTACCATTTGAATTGTTGCAGATATAATTCCTTCACTACACCGCAAAATAGAATACTAGTAGACCTCTTGCAGTTATGAATTGTGCTCTTCTTTTATGAGTTGTGTTATTGGTGACCGCATCAGCACTCAGCAGTTTAGTACTCGCTCGTGATACTTTGTTAGTGTCTCATACTAGTAATGGTCTTTCTCTATTTGAAATTGTTCACGTATGGTCATGTTTGTCTACATAAATGTAAAACGCCATGCACATCTTGTTGTGTGAACGGTAGATCCCAATTTTGCAATAGAGTTGCTTACATAGTTGGTTAGACTTCCATGCTCCTTGTTCGCTTTTTGTACTAGATAGTTAGTGATATGGTCAGTACTAAACCTCCAACTGAACAATACTCTAAGTATGCCAGATGACTGAACATTGTGATGCTCTTATATACATTCTAAGGAGAGTAATGATCCTGTCCGGACGTCCGGACAGGGAACCGCCGTCCGGACCGCGGCGTTTGGCCGCCTTCCCGGTGGCGTTTTTTGATGAAATTTTTATGGCATGTTCTCCATCAAGTCTAGTTTATCCACAAAAAAATTCAGCCAAAAACTCAATCGGGAAGGTCGTCAAATGATTTTTGCAAGTTAACTGGTCCGGAATATGTATTTTCCGGACCAGTTAACTTGCAAAAATCATTTGACGACCTTCCCGATTGAGTTTTTGGCTGAATTTTTTTATGGATAAACTAGACTTGATGGAGAACATGCCATAAAAATTTCATCAAAAAAAACCACCGGGAAGGCGGCCAAACGCCGCGGTCCGGACGGCGGTTCCTGTCCGGACGTCCGGACAGGAATATTTGTCTTCTAAGGGAGTGATATGTTTAGATGCTTGGAAATGCTAGTGAAATGCGAAAAATGATTTGAATTACATTCACTTGTTTGGCTTTATCCCAACAAATACATGGGAGGTTTTATATTATTAACTTTTTTAACATACTTTTAAATTACTAAGTCTTTGTATAATAGAAGTGGATAAGTGAAATGAGTTCTAATAAACAGGAAAAGATCGAGTCTTAAACGCTCTACCCCCAACAATTTTGTGCTAAATATTGTTTTTGTGGTTGGTTAATGATAATCATTTTTCCGATGTTTGAATTTGTTATATTGAGTGCTAAACCGTAAGACGCTTTGACAGGTGTTCGTGGAAATAACATTCAAAATCTCAAGGAGTTGTCTAACTATCTATAATGGAGTTTTCGGAAGACTGGAAGTCCCTATGGCCCGTATCCTTATCATTCTCTCCTCCACTCCTCCTCCCAAACAAAACATCAAAACGGAAGCGTCTCGAGAAAAGATCTATTGGACCTCTAATCTTTAACCCATGTCGGGAAACGCTGATTCAGCTTTTTTACTACCCTTCCATATCCCCTCGCCTTCCTCCACCATATCCAGAAGTCACCCTTCCAAAATTTCTACTTACATCAAGTACCTTACCCATTGCCTCTACCATTGCATCTGATTTGAGAGGCTCACAGGATCCTGACACTGTTCACAACTTCAATGCTCTTCAGTTGCTTCATTGCCCTAACCTAGACGCTGATAGTGATGATACTATGGTTCTTGCTTTTTTCCCCACCGGCGATAATTCTGACCAGCTAGGGTTTGCTGTGCTCACTATGAACGATTCTAAATTTATGAGCGTTAAGAAACGCAAGGATAAGAGCGATTTCTTTGTGCATAGTCGCAGGTTGAACCATCGGATGTCTAGATTATTGATCAATCCAGTTGGTGATTTTGATGTCTTTTTATCGTCTTCATCTTCATCCTTTTGTTATACTGTTATTGGATATGTCATGGTTTGCACAACATATTCTGTGCATTGGTATATTGTTAAGATGCCTAGAGATGTTGGCTTAGGGGATGTAGTTTTAGAATATGGTGGCCATGCTGGTGTTAAGTTATTTCAAGGTTCTTCTATTGTTCATGCCTGTTGGAGTCCACACTTGAGCGACGAGTGTATTGTGCTTCTTGAGAATGGCAAACTCTTCTTGTTTGATATGAGTGTTTGTTTGAAGAAAATTAACAGGAGAATGTTAGACGTGCAAGGCCAAAAATTGTGTATTTCATGGGGCAGTTACTTGAATAAAAAAAGTGGGAGCTGGTTGAGTTGTGAATTCAGTTGGCACGCTCGACTTTTGGTGGTTGCTCATTCTAGTACACTTTTCCTAGTTGATTTGAGTTCTGACAGCTGTAAAGTTTCCATTTTATTAAAGGCTGATTTTTTATCGACTGAGAACGTTGATAGATTTGTTGCTATATCTCAGTCAGATTCCAGCGGCTTTTGTTTTGCAGTTTCTTCAAATAGTTTGCTTATACTCTGTGATGTGAGAAAACCATCTATGCCAGTGTTGCAATGGGCTCACAATCTCCGAAACCCTAAATACGTTACAGTTTTCAAATTATCCACACTTCGCCCAACTGCCGAAGACCATTATGATTTCAAGTGGGCATCTGAATCCGGCCACTGCATTTTATTAGGTTCGTTTTGGAATTGTGAATTTATTCTTTTTTTCTATGGACCACCAGATGACAGGAGAGGACCCCATGCTATTTCAAGTGTGTGCAACTCATTGTCTTCATGGGGCGTACCTTCAGAACTTTGTTTGTCGGGGCGTGAATGCTTTTGTGGAAGTTGTCTCGTAAAAGGAGATTTCCTTAAGGATCTTCTTCTGGTTTGGGTTGATTGGAAACAGAAGAAACACATTGTTTTGGGTTTTGCAATTCTTGATGGGTTCTCTCTTGTTAGATTAATGTCCTCTGGCAAACTAGAAGCTCAAAGATACGTTGCGGCTTGGGAATTCAATAACATTTCGGGAGAAGCCCACAAAGACTCTATGTTGAGTATCACCAAAGAGAATTTCCTGTATGACACATACGATTATGAGGAGCATGCAAAACACAAGTTTGAATACCTGAAAATGGACTTCCTTAAAGAGTATTTGTGTGGCAATCTTGCTCAGCTTGTTGACAATAAACAAAAAAGCAATCAGAGGTGTGCTGAGGGAAACAAATCAAAGTTCCATCATGAGATATGTGAGAAGCTAAAGGAATGTGGCACTGCATTGCTAAGACCGCCACATGTTATTTCGGTAATATTAAAAAAAGCTGTCACCTTTCCCACTAGCATTAATGAGGTTGCATTGAAAAGTATTTGGGGTAGTTTGCCTATGAATCTCCTTGCCTTGGCTGCTTTTTCTGCCTTTTTCAATGGCAGTAAAGTCTTTTCAGATAAAACTCGATTTCTTTTTCCTTTTGCCTCTTCATCTAATGAACAGGTGCGATCTTCTCATGATGATGTTGCTGCCCATGTCAGCCCAGTTCTTCCCACTCATCTCTTGATTGTTCTTCGTAAACATGAATTGGAAGAAACTGGTATTTCCCCCGTTGATGATGAATTTCAAAATGAGTGCGATAAAGTTTTGAAAACAGCATTTGCAATGCAGAATGGAGAGATGTTATCACTTGCCGATGAAAATGATGAGATACCAAAAATGGCTGGAAAAATGAATGTTTTTTGCTTTCATAAACCTACTTTTACTTCTTCAAGATCTGATGACAACCTAAGTAGGACATATCAGACCTTTGTTTACAAGAAATGTCAGAAAGAGGTCTTAGGGGTGGTGGAGGAGGTCTTTGATGAGGGATGCCCATTAGAGTTGAATTTCAATTGCTGTGATTTTGACTTGACACCAAATGAACTGGATTTTCTTCAGCGCATGAAGAGGCACGACTTGAATTTTGTAGAACGATTCCAGCCATATCAAGAATATCTGTACAACCAAGAAAGATAAGGTTAACAAACAATTACTACATCTGTTTCTTTTCCACTTTGAGGCTTTATATTTTGTTTCAGTATTTTAATTGATTTTCTAAATTATTTTTTGAAGTTGGTGGGATTCAGTTGTTTTTCCTAATGTTGAGCATTGTGATGAAGCTGATTTAGCATGCAGATACAGGAGCTTGCTAACAAGGTATGAATTCTGAACCATTGTTTAAAGGGAAAAGGGGCAAATAAGCCCTCGAACTAATAAAAAAAGTGCAAATAAGCCCTTTTGTAGGAGGTTCTGTCCGATCATCGTCATTTGGGGAGGTTCTTGGTGGAATTTTTTGATGAATTTTTTTGAGCATCTTCTTCATTAAGTCTAGTTTAGCCATACCGAATTTCAGCTAAAAATTCAACCGGGAAGGCACTCAAATGATTTTCGGAAATATACTCGGTTGTTTAACTGCGCAGTTATCTTCAAAAATTCATTTGACTGTCTTCCCGGTTGAATTTTTAGCTGAAATTCAGTAGGACTAAACTAGACTTAATGAACAAGATGCTCAAAAAATTTCATGAAAAAATTCCACCGTGAACCTCCCCAAATGACGATGACCGGACGGAACCTCCTACAAAAGGGCTTATTTGCACTATTTTGATTAGTTCGAGGGCTTATTTGCCCCTTTTCCCATTGTTTAAAATACTTCCTAGCTTTTGTTAAAAGCGCTGCATACATATTTTCAAGTCTTTGTTGGTGTATTATCTTTTATTTTGCTCCTCAAACATGTCAATTATTTAAAACTGAAGTATGTAAAAAAACAGTCCCTGGTCCCTGCAGCCCCCCCCCCCCTCCCCCCCCCCCCCCGAAGGCAGGTATGTTTGACCAAGAAGTTGAACCATATATCTCAGATTGTGAATCACAATTTTGTCCCTTATTAGTCCTTAAAGAGCTTGCTAATTATCTTTTTTACATGGTTGTTTGAGGACTAAAAAATTATATCCTTGACAGTTGACACCTTAATTGTTTACAGTATTTTCTCTTGAAATTTTTGGCAATATTACTGGAATGTTTGATCCGTGAATTTACTTTCAAATAGATTCTTTATTAGTTCTGAATAAAGAATTTGTTCTGAATGTATAATTGTACAGTAAAGGTGAAGTGTATCACGTTTTTTGAGATGAGGGATGCTTCTTTTTTCAGCCCTTCCTCTTATTCTTCGAAAATACTTCACCTTTCTTCTCATTGCTATTATTTCATTTACATTGATAGTCCTTGACTTTCTGCCCCCCCCCCCCCCCCCCGATGCATTACTGTAGTATGTGAATCACTTTTAGTCGTTCCGATCAATTATCTAGGCCACTTTTCATACCATTACGATTGACTTTTGCTGGATAAGTGATCAAGCTGAACATAAGAAATAGTCATACACCAAAAGTGGAGAGTGTTTGCTTGACAATAGAGTATACACAACACTATTATCTGTGTTTGGATTTGTTCTTTTTTGCGGGTTTATATCTTTTGTATTCTATCTCATGATGTCTTATATCATGGCTGTGACAATGATTTGGTTGTAGTTATTGGGTCGATCAATAGTTATTGCTATATAATATTCCATATATTGACAAGATTTCACTGGCCCACTTGAGTTTTATGTTGCAGAGAGAAGCTGACCCAAGTATACTGCCCCTTTTTATGTTCTCTCGGTGATGTCTATTCAATTTGTTGTGAAGGTTAGTTCAGTTTGCAAAGGCTGATGCCCTCATGCCCCCTTCCCAAATTATAATATTCATTTACTTTTACTGCATTTCTTATTGAAGTCAGAAAAGATGTGATATAACACACATTCAAATGGACTCCTATTGAAAGCATTTTAAAACAAAAAAGCTTGGCGCTTAAATTTGAAAAGAGGTTTTTTTTTTACCTACTAAACAGTAAATTGTTACATATAAAAATGGGATTGTGTAAATTTGTCTTATATATGCACATTATAATGCACTCTATACCTTTCATTTTTTCCATGGTCCAAAAATACAGGTTCAACATTAACTAGTACATGTAGACAGTCTTATGAAATGACACCTCCATCTTGCAATAGTGTAGTAAAAAAATAAATAGAAAATTGTTTGTTTAAGATTCTTGTCGTATTCTAGGTAAGTCAAGATCAGACTATTATAACGTTTAGGTAATGCATTTTTTCCATTGCAGAGCTGTATTGAAAACCTTCATGTCAACTGAATGCAAAATCTCTCAAATAAGAAGAGGTTAGACCAACCTTTTTTTCTTTCTTTTTGATGTTTTATTTTTTAAAGAGCTTCAAGAAAATAATGAATGCTTGATTTGCTCACCCTTCTAATAATTTTCCTATTATTTTAGGGGTTGGATGGCAAGCAATAAAAATTGCCCTTGAGCCTATACAAAAGGGAGAAGAGGCGATCTTGTGATAATTTATTCTGCCAATGCATGTTGTCATGATGATCCTTGTGAGATAAAAACACCTACTCCGTATTAATTTTTATTTTTGGCCTGCTATGGCATTGATATTAATTGGCCTTGGATCATAAATATTTACATTTATAGATTACTACGTAGTATTTCGTATATAGATGATGAGCTTCCCCTGGAGGAGAAACAGGCTTTTCTTGCAGATTATGGCTTCAGATGTAAATGTCCCAAATTTCTTGAAGACTTTTTGAAATTTTGAGCGTGAATATGCTATCTGCATGTTAATTAATTTTCGTAAGTTTCTTTAGGCAGTTTAATTTTATATCTTGTGAATTCAATTAACATACATCCCCAGATTAGTTGTTATTTCTATTTTCTACGTGTTTATTATTAAAATATCCAAAATCTGTAACTTAGTGAACAAAACCTCATAACAAAAACAAAAAAGTGAATAAAAACTCGTATTGATCTCTTCTACAGTTCTACTCTTGTAGTCAAGGCATTAAAGTGAAAATAGTTGTCCTAGAGTGCTAAAAACTATCCAAGTCTTGTTTCGAAATAAATTAGGGGCCAGTTAACATGGATCAAAAGGATGTGCGGTTTCACTACTACTCTCTTCGATCTTCATCCTATTGTTAGTGCTTAGTATTGTATATTTGTATGCGTCATATTTTGAATTACGAATCTCAAATTAAATTTTGAATGGTAATAATAATTGATACTTAAATCCTCTATACTTAATAGCAATACAAAATGATCTGCATCGTTCACTTCTTTAAAATGATATATGTACCTTTCACTTCTTAATCACCGATCCATTGTTTCTCTGGCTCCTGTTTCCGCTTCACTTATATCACGGATCTTTTTTTTTTTTAGAACAAATAACTTAATTATTAATAAAACTGAGGACCAGATTCAAATTCGCCATAACAAAGGCTACACTGGGGTGAGACTCAGAGCTGGATTCGCGCTTATTAGCGGACCATCTCGCTAACCCCGCAGTTTGGTAGACTCCATACACAGCAATTCTGCACATGCTACTAGAAGGAGAATGAAAAAACAAAACAGAGTTCAGAACTGATGAAAAAACAGAAAAGAAACATAATCCAGTTTGACCAGCCACTGGCAAGGGAGTAGTGGTTTGAGCAGCCTCTGCAAAAGGAACAATCTTCATAACCTCACCCTTTCCTGCTACTGGCGGTGCTGTCCGGGCAGCACCGCCACTTCCAAGTTTTTTGATGACGTTCCATCAACATCCATGCTCGCCTGTGTCCCCACCTCGCCTGGGTCAGCCACAATCACCAGCCCCTTTTCTTCAGCAATAGATAACATGTTAACAGTCTTAAACAACATATCCATTGCAACAAAAATAAAAAATCACCGACTCAAACAGATGAGGAAATAATGAGAACTTGAAACCAAAGCACCGCAAACCGCAAAAATGAAGATTCCAAACTGTTTATTCAGAACATGAAGCAAAGCAATCTCGGCCAAATCTCAATAACCAATCTCGGCCAAACCGATGGTCCAGAACACGAAGCAATGCACAGAAACCAATCTCGGCCAAATCGAGCCGGAAAAAAAAGCCTCAGAACAAACGCCCGGAGAAAACGAACAACCGATCAATCAATGCACGGGACAGAGCCGCCCGGAAAAGTGAATAACCGATCAAAATTACGAAGAAAAATGAAATCACGAAAAGACCTGGCCGCAGAAGAGACTAGAAGCTAGACCATCTTGATACCGACGCCTCCTTCATCGATCTGGGATTGCCGAGGCAAAACTCGTCGATCTAGTACGCCGCCAGAGCATCGCATTATATCACCGATCTCTTAGCCTTCTATAATTCTCCTTTCTCTCCATCTTTCCTATTTCTTTTGCACGGTTCCATCTATCTGTTTCCTTCAGCCAATGCAAGTCTTTCCGGATCAGCAGTACCTATTTAGCAACCTTGATTTATTGAATCCTCTGATAAGCTCAAGGAGTTTTCATGTTTGTGATATTCTTAACTTTATGTTTTTGAAGTAGCTTTATACTAGGGAGATTTCCCAAAATAGGAGTAAATGGAGTTTGAAATTCTAAAATAGGACTACTATGTTTTTATTCCCGAAGTGATAGTATTTACTGTCATCTTATAGGCGTGACTGCCAAATAGTTGCAGTACAGTGCATTTAACATGACAATATTTATTATAATTAATACTTACAACATACAAAATTGCTCAATATGATGCATTAAACTAATCCCAATAATTAGGTTTTTTCGTAAACAAAGTATATACATAAACAGAGTGACTTTCATATATCTCAAGTTTATCGACTGAAAATGGCAATAACAGAATAATTTAATACTTTTAAAAGTATTCATAATCATGCTCTTTCCTTTAATAAGGATTAAACTTTCTTCTGAAATATGACTGTCATACCTGAATCTCATGCAAACTTTTCTTTCTTTTTGGGCTATGATTTGGAAACACTTAGACTATAAGTAGTGAAAAGTGCAATTTTCACTACTTAATCCTATGCCTGGAACTGTGGACTAAAAGTATAATTAGACCTAAAATTATGTATTGTTATATTAAACCTACATGTTCAATATAATTAGAGTATATTGATACTTTTAGTTCACAACTCCACTTATAAATAGACTTCAAGTATTAGTGAGAACATAACAGAATACTTTAATAACTATTTTTAGTGTAGTTTGGTGTCTTGTCATGAAATCTCAAATATGATATGCTAATAATATTAGACCTTAAATCCTTATAATCATATTAAACCATGAGCTATTCATAAAACTTCAGAGTATATAATAAAATAACTAAAATAATAGAAAGTATATGTATACATATGATTTCATGAAAAACAAAACTTTTAATGTCTTCATTCACCAAGTTCAGGGAGGAAAAACATCATCATAATTGAGATTCCCGAACTTCGGTCTAATTTCGATAAAAGCTTCTGAAGTCTGAACTATGATGATTTCTAATGAAGGAGAGGGGTGAGAAATCGATTAAAAGAAATCCGAACGAAGGAGGCGACGGGATTAGTGAATTTAGTTATTTGATCGAGCGATAAAAAATCAAGATCTGAGTAGAAATGAAAAATGCAGTGAGGCGGTGAGGGTGGAACCGGAGAGAAAACATGACCCTTAGATCTTGATTAGTGAATCGTGCGGTTGAAACAATAAATATTTATTGTTTCTTGCAATTGGAACTGTGGACTAAAGGTATAATTAGACCTAAAGTTGTCAATTGTTATATTAAACCTAGATGTTCAATATAATTTGAGTATATTGAAACTTTTAGTCCACAACTTTACTTATAAATAGAGTTCAAATTAAAGTATTAGTCAGATCATATCAGAATACTTGAATACTTTTAAAAGTATTGATAATCAAGCTCTTTCCCTTGAGTTCCATTTTTACTCCAAAAAACTGTATATAGCACGGGATGGGGATGCAACACTCAAATATAGCTCTTAGTAAATAACTTTAAAATTGGGATCATTATAGTTACTTTTGATGAACTTGAACCCAAACGGAGTGGCTTTCATGTATCTCAAGTTTATTGACTGATGGCAATCACAGAATACTTTAATACTTTTAAAAGTATTCATAGTCATGCTCTTTCCTTTAATAAGCATTAAACTTTCTTCTGAAATCTGAATGTCATATTTGTATCTCATGCAAACTTTTCTTTCTTTTTGGGCTATGATTTGGAAACACTTGGACTATAAGTAGTGAAAAGTGCAGTCTTCACTACTTATTCCTTTTCCTGGAACTGTGGACTAAAAGTATAATTAGACCTAAAATTATCTATTGTTATATTTAACCTACATGTTCAAAATAATTAGAGTATATTGATACTTTTTAGTCCACAACTCCACTTATAAATAGATCGACTTCAAAGTATTAGTCAAAACATAATTAACAGAATACTTTAATAACTATTTCAATCACAATAAGAAAACATGAAGGGTAAAAAACAATAACCATACATATCACTACGGATTAGTATTGTTGGGCTAGAATATTGGCATAAGAAAGAAGTTGTTTTAACACCTTTAAACATCAGGTTTGTGATTTAAAATAACCATACAGATCACTACTCATTCTATCAAAAATTGAATGATTGCTGAAACACAAATTTAGCTCCTAGCTTTAATTTGTTTATGTTTGCTTGGTTGAATTTGTAGTTGAACATAAAGTACTATTACTTCATCATTTTGGGTATGTTTGGCAAATGGCTTATCAGCCGGCTTTTAGCTTGTTTGACCCATTTCAGCTGTTTGATTGGTCAAAGAAGCTAATAATGATGTTTGGTAAATGGCTTTTAAAATTAACTTGTTGAGTTTGAAAAGCTGAAAAAATGGATTGTTGAAGAAGCTAAGGGGAGCAACTTCTTCATTTGGCTAGTTCAATTTACACTCTATCAGCCATTTCGAAACAACCAATTTTACCAAACAGTTATCTATAATCAGCTTACATAACCAGCCGGTCAAAACAGCTAACACAACCAGCTGTTAGGAAACAGCTGACACAACCAGCTAACAACAACAGCTAACAGCCATTTGCCAAACATACCCTTTAACTAACTTTATTCAATATTAGAATTATAATGACAATTAATCCGTTCAATTCATCTATTTGTAAAAATAAAACCTTAAAAACTGCTTTTAAATTTGATAAACATTACAAAAACTCCATTCAATTTGTATTTATGGAAGGGGTTGGAAAACTCAATTGCAAGACTGCAGTTAAAGATTATAATTTCAAACTCTTGGTTTGTATATATACAGTGGCGGACCCAGAGATTTGTTAGAGCAGGGGTACACTAGACACTAAACTTACTATATAATAAAATTTTCAAATGTAATAAAGATGGTAAAAAGTAAGGCAATATCATAAATTATACGGAGTGTTTTTTTTACTCCAAGGGGTCTGGGGGAGGGGGTCTGGGGGGAGCCTGGAGTAATCAGGGCTGAAAGTAGCCTGAAATTGACTCCATTGAGTTTCAAACCCTTTTGTGCCTAGCGGGATTCGAACGCGAGACCTCCCACTTGGCATGGTAACCTCGCAACCAGTTGGGCTAGAATGCTTGGTTATTATACAGTAGTTAATTACATATTAAATAGTTCATTTCTGCAACTTTGGTAAATCAAGCATACGAGTTTTCATATTCTGAAAATGTTGGTAAATCTGTAAGATAATAATCTCTCATCTTATTGCGAAGATCTGTCTTGATAATATTCATCGCAGAGAAGGCTCTTTCAACGGTGGCTGTTGCAACTGGTAATACTAAAGCCAACTCAATCAGACGATATACCAAGTGAAAAGAATTGTGAACTTTAAGCTCAACCATCTTTTTGCATCACCAATAGTCTGTACGGCAGAAAATAATTCATTTGTTCTCATTTCATATATCCACACCTGGAGTTACTCTTTCAGCTCCATTTGATCAACAGATGAAAAACCGCATGAATAGAATTCCGCGAGGTTCAGTAGCTTTGATTCATAGAAATTGGAGAACTTATCTCTAGGATCAAGACATGCTAAACCCGGTCCCTCCCAAATACATCATCTCCAAATCTCTTCCCTTCTACCCCATGGAAAAGGTAACACCAAAAGCAAAATGCAGCATCTTTAGAAATACTATATTCCAACCATTCCCAATTTTTAAACCACTCTGCTCGAAAACATCTCATTTTTTCCCAAATAAAGTTCGTGGAAAATCATGAGACAATGGTTGACAAGCACCTTTAACGACATACGCACTCATCACGTCATCTCTTGCTCGAGGCTCATATTCAATGATTGGCTTTCGTAATGCGGGATCGCTAATGATATCCCACTCACACGTACTATCTGTGCGGGCTCTTTTGTCTCCGCTGGTGTCATTAGACTCATCTCGGACAATGCTTACATTCGGAGCAACAACATTTGCATCGCTTGAGATAAACTGATTAGGAACGTTTGAAGAACTATCCCCTCGAGTCAAAGACCTCTTAGTCCGAATTACAAAGTTATCCAAACTCATGTGGTCATGTTCCTAATTTATATAATCGTAACATTTTATTATCTTGATTATCTAATACTAATAATTTTTGTACGGGTTGGGGCATTAATTTTACCCGAAGTAGTAGTAGTGAATTTTTTTTTGCCGGAAGCAGGGGCAACTATTTTACCCTAAGTACTAGTAGTGAAATTCTTGGCCGGAAGCCGAGGCACTTGCCCCGGTAGGCCCCCCTAGGTCCTCCACTGCATATATATCAGCTTCTTTTAACTATGAATAGGCAAAAAATTACTTAGGCTTTGAGATTTAAAACATAACCTAAAAAATAGATTGATGTTACACTTGAACTCCTAAAAAATAGAATACTGACATAATGCATTGTTGCAGATCCATGGATTGAAATAATGAATAGTCATTCTTGGTGTTATTCATAGTAAATAGAAGCTGATTAATAAAATTCCAGTACAAAGTAGACTGCTGCTAAACTCTTGTTCGCTATATATAATATTGTACTTTGTTAAGTTGTTTTCTAATAATCATGTGCAACGCATGGGTGCATCAATTTCATTATCATATTAGGGGTCACCTTGTTCGCAAAGAAACCAATCAGATAAGCCATCAAACTGAAATTCATTTTTTAAAACCAATCATCTCTGTTTCATTTTATTTCTCTCTGATAAAACACTATGCTCTACCTATTAACAACTTGAACAATTTTTCAAGATAGATTGAGAAGGTAAAATGCAGTATATGGTTGTGAGAGGATAAGGTTGTGAAAGTACACATAGTTGTGTGAAATAATGGGAAGCGTAGCTCCAATGGGAGCCCTAGCAGGTATATTTATAATAAATAAGAGTTGCCAAAACACACAAAGTTTCCTAACTTATATAAACTATTACACCCCCTCAAGCTGTGCGGGAGATGCAACGCGCAGGTTGTCCTTTAAAAAATGAAACTGCTGGCTAAAAGTTAAAAGTTCAAGGAAGAAAACTAAAAGCAGTATTCTTCTCAATCTGAAATTCTGAATGATAGGAACTAAACCCCTTATCTTTCAGTACATACTTTGTGTTCTCAATCAGAATCTTATTATGATGAAGATATCCTTCCAGCAACAATAGGAACAACCCTAAACTTCAGTAGAATGAAGTATAAGCATAGGTGAATTAAAAAGTAAAAACCGTCACCCGTCACCACTCCAAATTATTATCGAAAGAGCTAATTGTAGGGGCGAAACTTTGATGAAAAACTTCAGTTAATAAACAAAACCAACATTGAAGAGTAAAAATATTTTCAAATTTCGATTAAGTGTTTAAAAATTACTCCTGCTTACAGCCAAAAGAAACACAAAGCAGTTACATTGTTAGCCTAAACTAAAAGAACTGAGGAGCGATTTGGTTGAAAAACGATTCCAGAAATGGGAAGCGAGAAAAGCCGTAGATCTAATTTGGACGATCGTAGGGTTGAAATGGCCAAATGCTTGAGCAGGAAAATGGGTTTTCCTCAAAGTATTGCAATTATGTAGGATGATTGCATTTTTCTAACATTTTTAGTAACAATACAAATTAAAAAGATATCTATGAACAGTGGCGTATTCAGGAATTGAAGTGAGTGGGGGCGAATTCATACTACTCTCTCGATCTCATTAAATCTTTTCCACTTATTTTTGTTGGGATGTCCAAAAAATTCTTCTCATTTTCCCTTTTAGAAAATTTGGTGTGACTAACATTTATTTACATTTTTGTTACTCAACTAGAATCATATATTTCAACTTTATTTTTACTTTCTTAAACCCGGGAAGAATTTTTTTAGACGAAGGGAGTATGTATTATTTCACGCATGTCACGAGCACATGAACACTTTAACAAAATAATAAAAAATTCATTATAAATAAAAACTAGAATGAAATCATACTTAACAAATGTTACCATGTGAGAAATAAATTTGACACAAAATTTGTAATTTTTTATGTTATGTTAATAAATAAATAATTTTTTAGAGTTAGTGTAAATTGTGAATGCAGAATTTTATCTAAAAATGAATTTATATTAAATGTAAAATGTAATAAAGTATAGTTTAACTCTAAATGAATCAAGTAGTTTAACTCTAAAATATACTAAGTCACTTTAAATTTGATTAAAACTTTAAAAAACGGATGCAAGAAAGATAATGAATGGGAAGATAAAGTTTGGAGCAAAATGGTGGAAAAAGGTATCGAATCCCTGACCTAACAAAGATAATTCATGCCTCTCTATCCACTGCACCAAGTTGTTCTATGCATAGATTTTGTTTAATTAATGTATAAGTTATGTATCTTCAGCACCAAATTTATGTATAATTAATTTTTTAAATATGTATATATGGGGGTTGGGTGGGGGCAGCTGCATCCCCTGCCCCCACCCTGGATACGCCCCTGTCTATGAATGCTTTGGTTATATATAAGTCACACGGTAAAGGTATACATTCCATGAGTATAGACTAGATCATACATTCTCCTTCTTCCTTTTTTTTAAAGAAAAAATATGCTTAATTTCCAAAAAGTTTTGTTTTGTTTTCCAAAACTAATACGTACGGAGTGGTTGCTCCATAGAAGGTTGCAGCCGGTGTTGTAGAGTATGTTGCAAGTGCAGATGAGTGATGGCGGAGTTGGATTAGGTGGTGGTGACATCGGATGAGACATCGGCAATGGGCGGCAATGCCGGCAGAGCCTGAGATGTTGATGGAGGTGGTGCCGGAGATGGTGGCGGCGCCAGTAACGACGGACATGGCAGCAGTGCCGGAGATGGCAGTGGCGCCGGAGATGGCGGTAGCGTCAGTAATGCCGGAGATGGCTACTGCCCTGTGCGAAGCATATGTCGTGTCTTGTGCGCTACCTCTCTTTAATGTTTGTTATTTTATTTTGTATTATTAATAAAGGAATCAACTTTTTCATTAAGAGTATATTTGTCTCTTACTATTAAATTCCGGGAAATTCTATTTACAGCCACCCTTTTGCTAAATACAGCCACATATTTCCATTTTTCCTACTATGTCCTTAATACGAAACGTAATACAGCCTTCCCGCACAATCGCAAACATGATCTGCGTATTGCAAAGAGGGAAGCAACAAAAATAATTCCCTATTTTCTGCCCATAACCAGCAAAGAAATAACGTACCGGTCTATTGTCGATCATAACTAGCAAAGAATTTGCACTGCCGACAGGAAGCTTTTCTGATGGTGAAATTAATCATTCCAACTCTTCATTATTTTCATCTTCTTTATCAAAGGACTGTCGACGCACATTCACAGTCTGTTTTTTATGGCCGGAGCGAGTATAAACTTATCGTATTTACCCGGCACCAATGACCAAACTCTGCAATTCATTTCGCACTAACAGGCCAAAGATTCGAGCTATTAGATGGAAGCACACATCGAGAGAGCTTCAATCCTCTTTTACCTATATACTTTCTTCTAGTGCTCTGCTTTGTTAATTTATTATTGTTTGACCCTATGCATAAGGTTTGATCCAGTACCCTATTTGTTAGTACACGCATCTTTATGCTCTCATTTATTGCTTTTGGAGGATAATAAGCACCACTGACTAGAAGACAAAAATAACTTTGAAGATTACAAATTTCATCTGGGCGAGAACTTCCGGTGGGTAGAGAACTAAAGATGATAAAAATTCTTAAACTTCCGTCAATGAGCTCATTGCAACAAGAATTTAGCTTACCAATTTTATCTGGGCGAGAAGGGTTAGGAAGCTGGGACTGATATACATCGTGTTGTTGTTTCCTTTTTCTTCGTGATACATTTGTCTGGGGTTGTGTCATGTTACATATTGTTAAGGGTATAAAAGGTACTATAGAAAAATTGGGGCTTTATTTAGTAGAAAGAGGGCTGTGGATAGATTCACCCTTAAATTCCGCGTGCCAAACTATAGGGTGGGATAGGACTCCTATTTTTGCACTGTTGATATGTTTTACTCATAAAGTTGGAATTCTCTCTATTATTTTACGTGAAAGTCAACTTTGACCAAGTTTTATGAGACAAATGAAATATTAGTCATTATGGAAAATGGTTTAAAATAATTAATAAATTTGCACTGCTTTGTTACAATCTTTAAATACTTAATTTACATTATAGTTCTGTGATATCATTTACAATAATATTCTTCTAAGGCATTTAAATTTAAAAGATCACAATTATACCTACTATAGTTATTTTATATTTCTGCATTCCCTACTTCATATATGGGTAGACAACAAATTAGATGCATATCATCGGTAATTACGAAAGACAGTCACATCAAGCAACATGATTATTTATTACTCCCTAGCTATCTCACAAAGTTTTACTAAATTTTCTTCAAGTATTTAAAAAACTTTATTTTCATAAACAGGACTAATATCAATTATGTAGTTAAACATAGTTCTCTTTTATGTGCACAAATTTCAACTATATTATTTTTATTTTATTACTCCCTCCGTCTTGCTAAGATTGTCTGATTTTACCTTTTTGGGAAGTCCTACTAAGATTGTTTCATATCAAATTTGATAAAGTTTGTGTGGCTCTAAACCATTCTTACTTTATTAATTTAATATCAACCACACAAACTCGCTTTTCTTAATAATCGTGTCACCTTCTCTTGTCCCAATCTTAGTGGGACGGAGGTAGTATTTTACTGCTATTTTATATGCAAATCAAATGTGGCTAGATTTTGTGAAACACATGTGATACTTGATCAATGTATAATCTGGAAAGTTCAAAAGGGATTTCAAGTATTATTTCTTTTTTTAAGAAGTGAAACAACACATTGTTATTCACTCATGTTTTGCCCGTGGTCTCATCCCCTCTCGCTAGTGCATTTACCTAGGGGTGGGCGCGGTCCGGAACGGTCCGGGAAATTAGTAAAACCCTTAATGTATCCGTGAGGTTTCTAATGGTCCGGTACGGTCCGGTTCTAAGAATGGAACCATTCGGTACCATGTCGTTTCGGAACGGTACAAAACGGTACGGTACAATGCCAAACAAATGCTAAAAAATTTGACAAATATTGCAATTAGTAGATATCATCACATCAAACCAACTCACATGAAATGTTGGTTTAAATACAAGAAATTGGATACGTAGTACTAAAATTTACAAATATACAAATAGTACAACACAACTAAGAAAAAGTATAACAAAATGATGATGCACGAGATAAATATCATCTTTAATTTACTAAGTTCATGTGAAAATATATAAATAATATCATTAAATTGTTGAATATAATAGAAAATTTCAACGTTCTTCTTTGTGATTGGTTAAATTTTAGTTTTAGTTTAATTTATAGTTAAACCGTGTGAGCTAAGATTTAAAACATATTAATTAAATTGTAAAATTGCACAAACATGATACAAAAAGAGTTATATACACTACATTATTATAAATGAATATTCATGAATGATTTTTAAAACGTTAACAGTCTTTCAATACATACCAAAATATAACACAAATTATCTAAAAGGAAAATTAACAATATACGTATAAACACACATATTTAGCTATTTTAGGACACACATATACATATTTTGGCTATAAAATTATTGGTCTATAAAATAGATTTATTGGTATGGAAAAAATATAAAAAATCCAAATGCATTAAATTTTAACGGTCCGGTCCGGTATTTTTCGGTTCTCAAAATATAGGACCGGTCCCGTACCCGTTTCAAACGGTACGGTTTCGGTTCGGGATAAAAATACATAGAACCGTTTAAATACCCGATATTCGGTTCGGTACCATTACGGGCCGGTTCAGTGCCGGTTCAGTTCGGGTTTTATGCCCACCCCTACAATTACATGTAGTATATTTTTTATCACCAATTTCCTAGATCACTATTCCATTTCATACAAATATGTAGTACTTTGTATATGTTTGTGTGTGTGTCAGCGTGTGCGCCAAGTTTCGTAGCATGTGTGTGCGTTTTACACATTAAATTTGATAGAACATGTATCAAATGGTGTGTAGGTGTATATTTGAAACTTATCTTATTCACTTAATGACTTAATCCATGTACTTATGCTCTTAAATTAGAATAAATTACTTGAAGAAATTCCAGGCAATTTATTTTAAAATTTATTTAAAAAGGATTCTTTACATTCTTATAATATAATTACCTTTTAATTCATACTAAAATCGGTTAAACACAAATACGTAGTACAATTTTCAGAAGACAGATTCCTAAAGTCAATGTGTCACACTTGCATCAACGCTTGATTTTTTTATGAAATACCTCTCTTCGAATAAGAAATTTGAATAGAATTGCCATTTAAAATACCCTGGAAGAATATAATATATTTATTGTTGGGATAATGGGCCGGGTCCGATACTATTGACCCGATATGCATGGGCTCGGGCGTGAACCAGGCCCAGCACACGGTCCGGCTAGAGAATATGGTCCTTGGATTGATTTGTTTAGCTCTTGGGCCGACCGGCCGATGGACCTTAGATCAGGCTTCTTGTTTTAGTTCTTTAGCTGGGCCAAGCCCGTTAACTTTGGACAAGCCTCTTGTAAGCGCCTATAAATAGGCCGCTCCCCCCCTTTTGTATGGGACACGTCACTTTACCATACTGAATTGCTGCCGAATTTTCTACTCAACCTATTTTCTACCAACATTGGTGCTTTCATTGAGAGCCATTCTCTCAGTTTTCGGTAGAATCTTCGAGGAGGAAAATGGCAGGAACATCAAGGCAAGAGCGAGTTTCCGTTCACACCGAGCATTCAGAGCAGCCCGATGGCCATCGTGTGAGAAGTCAGGTAGTGAGACCGTTGGGAGATCTCCGGAACCATTTGGCGAGCACAGGGGACCTGAGAGGTTCACTAAGCCGCAGTCGTGACAGACAATCTATTCATGATCGGATCGGAGGTCGCCGTCGTCGGGCTCCGCGCACGAACCGACTTGACGCTGGAGTGCGGGCCCTACAGGAGGCCACGCGCGCCATTGAGGCTTTGGCTCAGAATTTCCAGGGGATGATGCCGCGGAGAGCTAATCATGAAACTCCTAGACACACCACCCCTGAGGACATCGAGACTTCCTCTGGGAGATATGAAGGGCGACCTACCAGTTTGGACGAATCGCCCCGGAGGGAGCATATGCCCCGGCAGGCCGAGCAGCCTCTACGACCCGGAAGGGGGGGGGGGCCGCCGAGTCTCGTCATTGGAGGGCGGGGATGACTTCTCTCATCATTCCCGCCGTCCGAGCGGTCAAACCGGTTCTATAGAAGGTCGTCGTGGTGGCCGTCGACCTCATGCGCGTGAAAGGGTCGCAGAATCATATGTGCGGATCCAGCCCCGTGCTGAGCGCATGCCGGTGGAACCAGCGCCCGAAGCTGTGGAGGATCTCAGATTGAGATTGGACGAGCTAAGGAGGAGGGTTGTTGAGGGAGAGCCGTACGTGGCCGATCTCCATATCCCGGAGCCCTTCACTCGTGCTGTAATGGAGGCTCCGTTGCCGAGGGGCTACAAACCTTGCAATGTGGATACTTACAAGGGCACTTCGGACCCGCAGCACCACATATCACGCTACCTGTCATATATGGTCATGATGGGGTACGAAGATGCCATACGATGCAGAGGGTTCGCGGCTACTCTGGATGGCCCGGCTCGTGAGTGGTACGACACACTGCCCGATGGGAGCATCGGGAACTTCAGGGAGTTGGCTAGGCACTTCCTCTTGAGGTTCGCCGGCTCACGAGATGTGAAGAAGAATTTCAGCCACCTGTTCAGCCTGAAGCAAGGAAAGAAGGAGGCTCTGTCCACTTTCCTGGCGAGGTGGAGGGCCGAGTCGGTCAAGGTCCAGGGCCTTGACGACAGGACCGGAGTGGCAATGCTGACAAATTCCATCCGATCGGGAGAACTTTATAAGGATTTTGTTAGGAATCCACCCGCTTTATACGAGGAAGCCCTGAGGCGGGCAGACCGTCAGGCTGAGGCAGAGGACGCTGAACAGAGAAAAAGAGATGAAGAGGATGGGAAGAGAGAAGACACGAAGGACAAAGGAAAACGCGGTGACCCAGATGATGAAGGCGCCGATGAGAAGTCTAATTGAAAGGGCAGCCGATTCAAAGGTAAGAAGAATAAGAACAAGCGAAGGACGGACGTCCCGAGCGGTCCGCTCCTACCTACCAAACATCTGACGCCTTTAGCTCAACCAGTCGGGACGGTCCTCGACTATGCGGAGGAGCAGGGTCTGGTTTCCTTTCCCGAGGAATGTGATGTGGTCACTGCCAAACGCAATACGGATCTATATTGCAGGTTTCACCGGAATTTCGGGCATGATACAGACGAATGCATCGTTCTCCGTAGACAAATCGAGGCGCTCATCAAACAAGGATATTTGGGCCAATTTGTAGGAAAGCCAGGAAATGCCCAGAAAGGGAGGAACCTGACGTGGAGGCGTTCCGATCAAGCCACCACGTCGAAGGAGAAACAGCCCCTCGACCAACTGTCGAAGAAGCGTGAGCTTGGAGCTTTGTCCGATGATGACGAGTGTGACCTAGGAGAGGGAGCCCGGAAGCATCACAGAGTCTCCTACATCGTTGGCGGTCCCCAAGGAGGGGACACGTCAGGCGAAAGGAAGCGATGGGCCCGATCCTTATACGTCGGGGAAGTTACCCGAGTACCTGCAGAAAAGAAGGTGAGAAGGGATCCGATCTACTTCACCGATGATGACTTACCACCCGTGCCACCACCGCATAGGGATGCCTTGATGATTAAGGTGGAGATCAACAATACAATCATTCATCGGGTGCTGGTAGACAATGGAAGCTCGGTGAACGTGATGTATTACGACACATTCCAGGGCCTTGGGCTGAGCAGGGCGGACCTGAGTCCGGTAAGAACACCTTTATCCGGATTTACCGGAGACTCGATTGAATCGGAAG